TTCCACATGCAACCAACGCACACTTGACCTCCGGCGCTCGGACACGAGGTCCGACAGCAGCACGCCCCACACACGCAAACACCGCCTGACTTGAAACAATCGCCAGGCATTGGTGCGTGCGATCAAACTGCAGGGCGTCGGCTTGCACTCGACTCTCAAGAGCCAATCCTTATTCCGAAGTTAGGGATCGAGCTTGCTGATTTCCTTTACCTACGTGGTTCTGATTCCGCAGAGGCTACGAACCTTGGAGACTGGATGCGGATGTGGGTACGATTCGTCTCGATCTAGTTGAACGTTTGAGCTTAGCATGAGAGCTAACAAGCTTACTCCAAGACCACGTCTTCAGGGACCCACCAGGATCTCAGAGACGTATCACAACAGCTGTGCCGCTTTGCCAACGCCATTTCAATTGCTTGCATGCAGGCTCCCCACACCCGTCAACTAGAGAAGAGATCTCCAGAACGAGCAACGGCAGGCTGATGCGGTCAGAAGACTCTCTGGGTATCGAGTGACAAACATTGCCCAATTCTCATTCTCTTTCTCCAGGTACGATCGCAGCCGGTGGAAATTTTCAGCAAAAATTATCACCCAATCACCACAAACACAACAGCAAAACAACAACACCGTCACGCTCGTCTTCGTGTATCATATATGTACATCACACGTGAGAGAGAAAATTTTTGATAGAGGTATATGAATGCCACAGCACATGAGTACGGTCGGAAGAACGTAAGCATGTTCATGAACCGACTCGATTACAACTCTTTTTCCTCACTCGGTTATTGAGCGATGAGTATTGTCGTGGCGCACACGTCGCAGCAGTCTATACGTGGCTACCACTTCATAAAAGCCTTATGTGATCGTTTAGTTCGGTAGCACACTAACTTTGTTGCGGAGGATAAAAACAAGACAGTAATTTTCGCCGTTAAATTCATAGACTTTACACTGTGTACATGCGACTTTCACCAACGGCTTCCACTCTCTCACTAACTCGTATCGAAAATTCTCCCCTAACTACGGACGCGTCGTTCTCCAAAGAACCATTTTTTCAGTTCTTAAGTCTAACTAATAATTGAGATAAATACGTTAAGAATAAATAAAATTAAAGATGGGCTCAGAAAATTTCAGAATTGCAGAATAACAGAGATAAATAAAGATTCAATTGAACAAACAATTATTATACGGTATGCCGATCACAACAGTATGAGAGAAGCATGAGAGTAGCTTTGTCCTGAAACGTGAATTAGCGAACCTAGCCATAGCCCACCCATATGTTGACAATCTCGAGCTCTTGGAATCGCATCGTAAACTCGTTGCTACTCAGTGATGTGATTATTATGAAATAACATTTCGAATTTTTACATTCATTTTACAAATGTCGAGCTATATTTTGTGCCGTTCCCTTCCAACGTAAGACCTAGGCAATTCCCAAAACGTCTCGGGACCCGCCACGAGTCAAATATGGCGAAGGCCTCACCTAACAGCCCCAAGTGGCGCCACTTAAAACGCTTCCCCCGCCTAGCTTTTCTTGAACACTTACAGCCGTACTTAGGACCTTAAGTTTCTTGACTCAGCCGTGTCACTCACAGTGAACTAATCTATTATTGATCATTCTTAGCAGTTCATACTTGTCATTTTTATCTGATAGACTACTCCATAATAGATTCCTCCACCAGGATTTAGCACAGAAACCAATATCGTGCCAGCGGCTGACAGGAATAAAAGTTTCAACGGAGCTGATAATCCAATGAAGTTTTTTTCGGCGCTAACACTTGGCCACGTTCTGGGTGTTGGGAAATGTAGACAGCGTTAATTCATTTCGGGGACGTTCTAAATGTTGTAAATTAAAATATCCTAAATCCAATGAGTGGCGTTCAAGTTCGGAATGTTGAGAACTAAAGACGTATTAATCCTATGCGTGGCGTTCATGTTCGGAATGTTGAAAACTAAAGACGTATTAATCCAATGCGTGGCGTTCAAGTTCGGAATGTTGAGAACTAAAGACGTATTAATCCAATGCGTGGCGTTCAAGTTCGGAATGTTGAGAACTAAAGACGTATTAATCCAATGCGTGGCGTTCAAGTTCGGAATGTTGAGAACTAAAGACACATTAATCCAATGCGAAGCAGTCGCATTCGGAATGTTCGGAGCTGAAGACATCTTGGTCCAACACTAGGCGTATCCATCTTCTTTGTCTGTCAACCAATGCCAGCGTATTTGTTGTAAAGAATGTAGAAGAGTGTCATGATGTAGAATGTCATGGCTTTTTGGTAAAGGAAATGTCAGTAGCAGAAAAGGAGATGGTACTTACATCGTGTACAACAACATGTTGAATAATGACAACGCAGATCGCAGATGAATCAGTCAGATATTATGTATAAGGTCAAGAGATTGCAATGGATGTGAAGTTTTCCACCGCGATCAGTTGTATGCTGCACATAAGTTAAAGGATTAGGGAGTTGCAATGTAAGGCAACATTCTATTTAAAGGTACCAACATCTGTTTAACATCTTCACTTGAAAATTCTTGAACTATGAAGGCCTAACAGAACAGGCAGTTATAGGCTGTCACTCAGAACAACAAAGCAACCACTGGCTCATAAATAGTTTCACAAAATCCTATCATGGGTAGACAAAATTCATACACTATACACATACATAAGATTATTCGTACTGATATATCTTGATAATTCTTTTGACTTGCCTCAAATTTATTTTGTGTACAACAAATTCTTCGAGACAATATAAATCTAACAGATATTATGCAAGAAGTAATAATTATAAGCTAGATTTATTATATGTTATTTTACTGTACATTATACAAGATGTACAGTAAAATAACATTATACATCGCGACATTATATGAGTACAATGTACAAGACTATACGCTAGCTAGCCTTTTTCTATCAAGGTTAGCCCATAATTGGTTAGATCTGTCCAGGAAATAGATAAGTTGGCAAAATAGTGAATTCATCGCATGGACATTTTACAGCCACGGCAGTAGCATGATACAAGGCTCAATGATTCAGAAAAATAGACATTTGGAATATTCGGCCTGAGGATCTGCATGGAATTTCCTGTGACTATGCGACGCTCGAACCTTTGGCGGGATAATCAAGGAATAACTTCATGTTTCGCCTACCATGGTTGACACGACTCTACCGATGGTTGTCACGACTTCTATAATGAAAAAACTCACGAGACATGCAGCCTTCGTGTACTAGAAGGATGGAAATCATTAATCAAACATGCAGGTGCGTGGGCGGCTGCTTACCTTTGGTTCTCACTGCACCTGGTCAATCAATCATAGGCTTATAAAATCAGAGCCACGCACAAACGACGTAACAGAGCAGCAAGAGCTTTCGAACTGCCCGCAGACCCTGTTGTTCCTCATGCAGTCCCAGCAGCAAGTGTCTTTGAGCTACCAGCAGACCTTGTCGTTCCTCAGCAGTCCCAGCAACAAGAGTTTTTGAGCTACCCGTAGACCCTGTCATTCCTCAGCAGTCCCAGCAGCAAAAGTCTTTGAGCTACCCGCAGACCCTGCCGTCCACAGTCCACACCCTTATCACAGCCCTAAGATGTCGCGAGGTCTCGTGCTTCTCATCGTCGTCGCGGCAGCAGCGTCGGCGCAGACGTAAGTAACACGTCTTCAGAGTTTCATGAGTGGTTTGCGGTAACACTTATCAAGCGGACAAAATCTTTATTTTTTTTGCGAGGATATTCCGTATTAAATGCTACTGATATACATTTTGAGGTTTCTCATGATTACCAGGGCAGTAACTTCTTATATTTAAGACGCTTTGCTTAATACGATGGCAGCATCAATACCTGTGAAACGCTGTAAAAATAAAATTGGAATTATTTACGGCGCTCGATGCTTGCGTGACAATAATCGAATAAAAAAGGAATAGTAAATGCGGTATCAGCGTTGGTTAGGCTAATAGACCTTTCGCTGATTCTTAACATTGCAGAACATTCACAGCTTGGTGCGGGTCTCAAACATGCAACTCACTTCAGTTTTAGTATTCTGTGCTGTAATCACTTGGCAACCCTACGTGGGCAACATGTTTGCTAATCATGATAGATTTGAAGAACATTGCACTCCTGCAGGTGAATGACAACCAATTTTGTTTGCTCCAGGCATGAGTAACATTTAAGGGAATCTTATTCAGTTGGATAATATAATTCGTGAACCGCTGTCAGATTTGTTCCTCGCTGAGAACAAGCCAAGTCATGAGCTGGAGGCCCGACGACCTGCCTGGCCATATCATTATATCCCTTATCATATTTTATCATTACATTCCTACTCAGCTTTAATCATTGTAAGGAGCGAGGAGAGGACCGTACAGCTGCTCGCATCTGATCGCGGAGAGAAGTGTTCGTACATTCTAATGTGGCAGTGAGATTTTCAGGTCACAGAAGGAAGTATTTGTTAAACTTGTTGGACCAGCAAGATTTGCAGCTTGTGCTGGGAAAGTATTCGTTAAACGTATTGGAACAGTAAGATTTGCAGGTTGCGCAAGGAAAGTGTTCGTTAAACTTATAGGAACAGTAAGATTTGCATGTTGCGCATGGAAAGTGTTCGTTAAACTTATAGGAACAGTAAGATTTGCTGGTTGCGCAGCGAAAGTGTTCGTAAATCTTATTCGGCAGTAAGATTTGCATGCCGCGGAAGTCAGCAGAAAAAACTTTTCGGAAACCGTGATTTCAGCCAAGCTTGCATGTGCTCCTCTCCAGACCGAAATTCAAGAGCTTCCTTAGCCGTGCGACTTTTTCTTAATCAAATCAATTTTGTTGTCATTCTATGCAAAAACTTAATTTGATTATTGATGTTGCCCAACTACCAAATTAACTTGAAATGGTTTACTTGGAAAATTTTTTTATTTTTAACACATCTTATTTCAACTTGATAAATCAGAAAATGTAACTGTAGAGATGCTAGAATATGATTTACTATGTAAGTGACGTACCTATTTTAACTTGTGGATTAATTGATTCCAGCTCTATTTCGGCTTGCAATTGGGCGTTGTATAATGCCAGCGATGCTGTGACAAGAAAGGAGTGGTCTGATTGCTTGCCTCTGATTGCTTGCCTCAGTACAGAGCAGATGTTAATAAATTTAATGAAAGTAAGTGTTAAAATAATTAATACGAACTATTTTACTCCCACTTAAAACATCTTTATTATAAAAACTAATCATCAAGCACTAAAATATTTAGATTTTTATATGTAGATACTCTAATGTACGAATCAAACAAGCATTTTGTTCATTGACTAGTGCAGGGCAAGAACTTTTCTTTCATTAATGCTTATTGAGTTTTTAATTATTCTGGTTGAGTTACCGAACGTTAACTAACCAATAGAATCCCTAAATTGTTTCACTCCTATACGTTGTTTCGCACTGAGATGTCACCAACACACCATAAACGACTGCTTCGCTCCTCCTCAGACCCGAACTGCTCAGGCCTTCCATCTCCATCATACGACGTGGCTACATGCGATCCAATTATTGCCAACTACATGGCGTGCGGTCTGATAGCAGCCAATCTTGTGAGTAAAGCACAAGACTGAGCATCGAGTGTAGGACTTGTGAGTATGACAGTACAATAGACATTGGGTATGGTATGGAGTGCAGGACTTGTGAGTATGACAGTACAATGGACATTGAGCATCGAGTGCAGGACTTGTGAGTATGACTGTACAAGTACAATGGACATTGAGCATCGGGTGCAGGACTTATGATTATGACTGTACATTAAGCATCGGGTGCATGATTTGTGAGTATGACTGTGCAATGGACATTGAGCATCGAGTGCAGGACTTGTGATTATGACTGTACATTGAGCATCGAGTACAGGACTTATGATTATGACTGTACATTGAGCATCGGGTGCAGGTCTTGTGAGTATGACTGTACAATGGACATTGAACATCGAGTGCAGGACTTATGATTATGACTGTACATTGAGCAACGAGTGCAGGACTTATGATTATGACTGTACATTGAGCATCGCGTGCAGGACGTGTGAGTGTGACTGTATAATGGATATTGGGTGTCGAGTGTAGAACTTGAGATTATTACTGTACATAAGCATCGAGTGCAGGGCTTGTAAGTATGACTGTACAATGGACATTGAGTATCGAGTGCAGGACTTGTGAGTGACTGTATATTGGGCGCCGAGTTCATGACTGGACATTACAGTTCAAAAATTCTGGTCTCATACTCGCAACACACACGCTCAGCAGTGTTTGTTTCTTGGTGTGTAGGGCCGATTTTTGGGGTTAATGTCAGTCACAAACTTTTTGGCGTGACCCACTTGTGTGCGCACAGACCCGGCAAGTGGGTCAACATAGCGGGAAGACATTTTCCAATTTCTTCTTACATCAACATCATCCTCAACGATGCTCTTACATTTTTTCCTAACAGCTCATTCGAAACGTATAAGATTAGATAAGCTTGAAGTACCCTTTGCGATCTCATCATAATAGAGCTGTGATGGTGCAGTGGTGAGTGACTCTGTCTCTCGCACCCAGCGCCCGGGTTCGAGTCCCACTGAGGACAAGTTCTACCGGGAAGCTCAGCTCGTGGTCAACTCAGCCTATTCATCCAACTCTGGTTGATAAATGAGTACCTGGCTTGTCCAGGGTGTTGTGCAATGCAATCAAATGGTTCTGGCGGGTCAGCGGGCCAGTGATGGTCGTAGAACTACCAGTGGCACCGAGTGCCCGGAAAAACTGACTTATCACCCCCCCCCCCCCTTAGTCGCCACTGCCAGGATGGGCAATTACAACAACTACAACATCTCATTTAATGCTAAGGAAGTTTTCTCACGAACAAAAGTAAATCCGAGCACTAGTTACCATATATATCATGAATATCTCCACCTCCCGTTCTCCAGCTGAAGGCAGACAACACGTTCGACGACGCGGCCTTCAAAGCTGTTAACAGCATTGAAGAACAAATGCAGCGCTGACGCCAAGTTCATATGCCGCGTACCCAACGTGAATGAAATCTACCATGAAATATTTGAACGTAAGTAAAAACATGTGCTTTTCTATTTCATTCAGAAACAAATGAAACATTTTCCATATGTATTGCTCAAATTTTGAGATGACACGGAAAAATGACCAACGGTAAAGTATAGTATAACAACGAAAGAAAAAACCTCTTTCATTGATTCATAGATTCAACGATGTCACACCACTGCATCAAAGAGAAGAGATTACAGAATGTCCATAAATGTTCATGGCTGATGACTCATGTTTCATGTTCCAGTACAGTCGACTATTCAGTTGTCTCATAAATGCTGTACGCCATGGGTATATATAAGTCAGGGAAGAACATTGAAATGAGCCAGAAGAAGACGAACTTGAGCATCAGAAGACTTTTCTTCTTGCGTAACCACTTCATTTCCGCATAGATGAATTGCTGACGAGAATATTGTAATTGTTGCAATATTGAATTCGGGATTTCTTCGATTATGTTTGTGGCTGCGTGCTTTAATCTCTGGTTTACGGATTTTTTACAATAGAGTTTCACTTTCTCTCCCTCATAAAATAAAGGTTCCGAAAAAGAATATTATAGGATGCATTGCGTTTACTGTATTAATTAATTAATGTACAAATATCCGTTTGCATACATTATTCATGAGTTATACTGCTGCGCGCAGTTTCTGGGATATAATCTACATCTATAATGTAACAATACAATAAATGATTTGAATGCACACATATTTTACTGTCCTCTCTGGTTGAATTATTTTCAAATTTCCTGTAATGTTTTCGTGGGCCGATATATACAGGTACGTCATAAAACGTTCTTCGCATAGTGCCGAAGCCAGCTATCAAATAGAACGAAAAATATGATATTATTATGTCAATATTCGATATTTAAATGGAAGCCGCGCAATATTTGAACCCAGTCGCATCACTCCAACCTGACCATCTCCGCAAGACCAAACCAGAAAAACACGATGCCCTGGCGGCCCTGCTGTATTGAGGGTGAACGCATCGGCAGCGTAACAGAATATTGTTGATTATAGAAGTTATACTGTGAATTAAAGGAAATGCGGCTGAACACGTAATTAATTCAGGAGTTTAAAAGCAAATAAAATGCCACAAACATTCACCATATTTTATATAATAAAATGTTCCGGGGTCTAACTCTATCGTCAGATCAATAATCATTGATTGCAAGTACAAATAATTATAAGTATAACCAAGAAAACATTGCAGATTTGAAGTTAAAATTTACAAATAAGAGATAAATCCTATTAACAAGTTCATCTATATTAGAACTGAACTCGGCATTTAAACTGGCAACTGTTAGGAAATAAGGATTCTAAAATTCATACGGCACACACCGGTTATGGAAGCTAAAATTCTGAACTCGCAGTCGAATGCTGGGACTTTGCAATGCCCCGCAGTATCTCGTACAGCTGAATGAAAGGAATGTGCAATTATCATGCTCGCGAACTCTTCCCCTGATGCTCCGCCAGTCTAGCATAAAAGTTGCGTGACGTCATACCAATATTCACTCTGATCGGCATTGCGCACAACTGTATTTGAAAACTAGAGACGATCGAATCAAGTCATGGGAGTATCTTTATACTTGAAGAAAGAGCAGACCCTGAAATTATTCCCCAATACACACAATTTTATATTCGCAAGTTCTATCACAGATATAACTTTAACTCATTAGACATAGTTTCGGATGCAGGGACAAAATATGGAAATGTACAGTTCACCACGTTCCCTATAATTACACTCGCGGGAAAACTTCACTATTTGCTCAGATATGAATTTTATTTATATGAGTACACACCATATGTGTGACAGAAGGCCACGACGCGATGAGTGATTGTGCAAAAATTAAATTCAAAGTTCATAGCATGGAAGGTAAAAGAAATACGAAAGCCACAGTGAATTAGTTTGTGAATCTCAATTAATTCAAAACGTTATGAATAAAAGCCGAAGAAGCAGGTGTTTCAATTGTTAAACTTAAATTTTCGGAAGTTAGGACCGTGACAAAAGTCGGGTACTACCTAGGCTTCTGCCCAGGAGTCTCTACAATCGGTCTAAAGTTATTCTCCTTTCCGAGTTTATGCTCGCCTGAGAGTGAAGTAGGGTTAGGCAAGCCGAGTCATGCCGAGTTTGCAAGCTATGACATCAGCATCCGCATAAGAAATGGCAGGTCAGGTAAGTCCCCAAACTACATCACACGTGCATGCTTCGCAAGGAAGCTACAGCGCAGCCACGAGCACAGGCAATTTGTCTCTCACTCCGGGGAATGAAGCAGGCGAACGGGCGCACATATGACGAACAACATGGCTTACAACACATGTCGCAACATGGCTTACAACAGAAGCTGCTCAACACTTGAATAAACTAAATGACAAATTAATATAAGACATAAGATTAATATAAGATTAATGACAAAGAATCATTAATCAGTTCATCTAATGAATAAGCGAGCTTCAGACCTGATAAATCGAGCACCAACGACCACAATTAATTTAACGCGAGGCGGTCGCGTTCGGGATGTGGAGAACTGACGACACATTAATTCAATGCGTGGCGGTTGCGTTCGGGATGTGGAGAACTGCGACACATTAATTCAATGCGTGGCGGTTGCGTTCGAGATGTGGAGAACTGACGACACATTAATTCAATGCGTGGCGATTGCGTTCGCGATGTTGAGAACTAAAGACATATTAATCCAATGCGTGGCGGTTGCGTTCGGAATGTTGATAACTGACGACACATTAATTCAATGCGTGGCGTTCACGTTCGGAATGTTAGAACTAAAGACTCATTAATCCAAGCGTGGCGTTCAAGTTCGGAATGTTTAGAGAGAAAGATACGTTAATCCAATGCGTGGCGTTCACGTTCGAAATGTTGGGAACTTAAGACATAATAATCCAATGCGTAGCAGTCGTTTTCGGAATGCTGGAGCTAAAGTCATCTTGGTCCAACATTTGGAGTATCCATCTTCATCGTTCGTCTACCAAGACCAGCGTATATTTGTGGTATAGAATGTAGAAGAGAGTCATGACCTAGAATGTCATGGCTTTTGGGTTAAAGAATGTCAGTAGCAGAAAAGGTGATAGTACTTACTTCATGAACAACAACGTGGTGAATAATGGCTACGTATATCGCAGATGGACCAGTCAGACATTATGGATAGCAACATCTGTTTACATGGTCAGACAAAGATGTTGCTGACAAAAGATAGCAACATGGTCAGACAAAGACTATGGTCAGAAGTAAAGGTACTAAACGACTGGGTCAGATGTCTGTTTACTATGGTCAGACGAAGATCTGACCATAGTAAACCTGTTTCCTCAATAATAGAGAACTTATGTGCATATCTTGAACATCCCTTTTTATTTTGTTGGCAGAATAACACATGCTCATCGGCGAAATAAGACCACAAGGTAGAATCCAAAGTCCAAAAATTCATAAAAAGTCCAAAAATTCCAAATCCAAAAATTCATAAAATATAGAGGTCTAACACAACAGGCAGTTATACACTGAGAGAAAAAAATGACCTCGGTCTCGAGATACTTGAGTGCTTCAAGGCCTCTCCGAGCGATCGTGCCGAAGGCGAGACGACCCCTGTGGCCGCCAAAGTGTTTCAAAGAAGTTCAAGTGATTCCAAATGTGCGATTTTGAGACACCTTGGTGTTTCGGACTACAGTAGCAGAAAAGGTGATAGTACTTACTTCACGAACAACAACGTGGTGAATAATGGCTACGTAGACCGCAGATGAACCAGTCAGACAGCATGTCGGTGTTTGGAATGTTGTTAATGCCTCTCCGAGCGATGGTGCCGAAAGCGAGACGCCTACGGCCGCCTAAGTGTCTCAAAGACGTCCAAGTGTCTGAATATTTGGAATTTTGAGACACCTGAGTGTCTTAAAAATTAGAACACGAATACATATACGGAGAACGGCAGAACGCAACCGTTATTTAGAATTTCTACATAATCCTTGCCCAGTTTCCAGCGCCTGATGAAATCATTGGATTAATGTGTCTTTTGTTCTCAACATTCCGATTGTTGAACGAATAACACATAACACTTGAGACACCCAGGTGTCTCAAAATCCCAAATTTTAGGACACTTGGACATCTTTGAGACACTTAGGCGGCCGTAAGCGTCTTGCTTTCGGCACGATCGCTCGGAGAGGCCTTGAGACACCCAAGTGTCTCAAAACAGCATGTGTTATTCTCTCAACAAAATAAAAAGGGAAGTTCGAGATATGCATCAAAGTTCTCTATTGTTGATCTATAACTATCTCTATTAATAGTAATGGTTATATTTATAAGTATTGATAACTTTTCAAATACAGCCCGAAAATTTTCCAAAACCTAGGAATTAATTCACTTTGAAACGATAAAAAGTTTAATAATTTCAATGAAAATTCTGTAATTATTTCGCGAATATCAGCTCAGCCGTTTCGAAAATGAATTAGTATTGACAACTTTTTATATGTAGCTCGAAAGTTCTCCCTAACCTAGAAATGTTTTCATTTTAAAGCAATAAAATTCTGTAATAATTTCGCGAGTATCAGCTCAGCCGTTTCGAAAATAGAATTAGTATTGATAAATTTTAAATACACCTCGGAAGTTCTCCCAAACCTAGGTATTTATTCGCGAGATGTCCTGATGCCCAATTTCTATACCTATGTATATGTCATGATGCCAATTTTGATTCCTGGATGTCATGATGCCCAATTTTGATTCCTAGATGTCATGATGCCCAATTTTGATACCTACATGTCATGATGCCATATTTTGATACCAATTAAGATGTCATGATACCCAATTTTGATTCCTAGTCATGATGCCCAATTTCAATACCTAGATGTCATGATGCCCAATTATTTGTTCCTATATGTCATGGTGCCCAATTTTCATACCTCCATGTCATGATGTCCAATTTTATTTTAATACCTACATGTCATGATGCCATATTTTGATACCAAGATGTCATGATGCCCAATTTTTATTTTTACGTGTCATGATGCTCAATTTTGATACCAAGGTGTCATGATGCCCAATTTTGATACCTTCATGTCATGATGCCCAATTTTGATACCAAGATGTCTTGATGCCAAATTTTGATACCTAGATGTCTTGATGCCCAATTTTGATACCAAGATGTCTTGATGCCCAATTTTGATACCAAGATGTCATGATGCCCAATTGACACCTAGTTTTGGATACCTTCAAACACTGTCGAGGCATCGAATTGATCGACTATATATTATTTAAAATTTCGTCTTAAAATATATAAGAATGTTACTATATTCGTATTGAGATATTTCTGTGATCTATACCGCACGAGAACGTTTTAAATAAATATGTCATGCTGAAATTATTAAAATTAAATTAACTTTGAATGAGGCTTTCATATGATCCTGCATTGTGGAACAAGGCAGTCCTGCTTAACTCGCTCAGCTGTTTGTGTTTCTAAATAAGCGTGTCAATGTTTGTAATATTCAACATGAACCACTGGTAATATTTGAATTATTCAACTTGTCGGGCCTGTCAGCAGTCGCATCAGCCGAGGCACCGCATACAGGCCTACAGT